TGCTGTATCACGGTTCACTATGGGAGTCATTTCGAGTTTGGTCACCTGTGGCATTACCAGATGGTTGTGTGTTTCAGGGGATTTGCTTCAGGTGGAAATAAGGGAATCCTAGGAGAATCCAACCTGGGTCTGAGAGGTAGATGTCAAGCAATATTTCTCAGTTTGTACTCACCTTGCACATTTTACATGAGGCAGTCCTATATGTTTCAGGGTGTTTAGAATTCCTGATCCCTGTCCACTAAAATCTGATTGAAACCATCCAAAATGCCTCCACACATTTTCAAACACTCCTGGAGGGTCTCTGCCTTCCCAGGATGAGAATGCAGGAGTCTGAGAACCTCTGATTTAAAAGCAGGGCCTATATTGCTAATAGGTGACAACTGGAAACAATAATTATATCAATAGGAAAATAATTACTAGACAGGGCAGATAATTTGAACTGCGCTGACCTGGACTAAGTCAGAATTCGTACTGAACATCAGATTTGATGGCTGATGTAATCAACGAGCACTCCATGGGTTGGCTGCCAAGATAATGCATTATGAGCATAATGAGTGTTGTGTGATTTCATTAGAATGGAAAAAACCAATATCTACATCTTTGACAGAGTACGTGTCTCTCTCAGTTGTCCCTTGAATTGGCGATGATGAGCCCTCTAGTGTCCCAGACCCTCATTAATGTTAAAATCTTTCTAATTGACAAAGGGAGCCATCTAGACAGTACTAATGGACCCTGGCAGAAGTAGCTGTGTCAGGTGCTGTAAATGAGAAAAGTTCGACCTTTCCGAAGAGAGGCAGAGAAGAATTAGAAGCCTTGACGATTCCCCCTAACTCCATGGAAACAAGTAGTTTCTTTTACTGGCACACAATGCTTTTACACAGATACCATCTTCAAGGGCCATTTTCTCCTGGATGTTGTTAACAGATGAATGAGCTTTCCTGTTTGACGAGGAGAGGGGATTGTGTGCTAGAGCCTGTGGGGAGACCCCTCCCATAAATCCAACTTATCTCCATCCATAGCGAACCATCGGAATCACACAAGCAGCTGCTGCAAAGGGCTTTGTGCTGCGCTGTTTTTCCCATAGCGAGCCTTGCCTGGTTCTCAGACGGCCGAAGTGGGTGCCTTTCATTTTCTCTCGGGCGGCTTCAGGGCTACAGTTTGCTTGGCCCCGAGTAAAGATTACGTGGCAAAAGCAGCTCTGATCTTATTCTACCCAATTTGCTAGATGTTATCTCACTCTTTAAAGAGCCCAGAAAGAAAGATTCAGAAAGTCAAGCGATCTGCTCTCTCTCGCAGACGGCACAATCATTTACCACAGCTATGACTGGGCACTTTTCAGCCTCATACAAGGGGGACTCTACAGGTTTCAAGAAAGTATTTTTGGTTCCATTTTTCTTTCTGAGTCACTGGAGAATTGAATTCTCCAAAAGCCCTGTGGTGTTGTGTAAAATTCTTTGCCCAAGAGAGGATGCCAGGATGCTCATATCATCTCTCTAGAACCTTGTTTCCTAGGTAACGATTCCAGAAAACGTATTTATTGATGTTCCTAAAATAGATTCAGGTACCTCCTTTAATCTTAGGAATCTTAAACAGTCAAGAGCCAAATTTATCAGGAAAAAACAATTACAGCTCACCAAAACCTTTCCTCAACCCTCTCAAATCTCTAATAATTGTAAGTAGCTATCGACACCTGACCAAAATGACTCACCAGTAATAAATCATCTTATCTTCTTTATTGTTCAATGTTCCTCATATAAAAGCCCACATGATAGTTTCCTTCCTGAGTTGAGAGCTAGGATTTTTTTCTCTCTCTCCTACTGGATGGACAAGGAAGATAATGAGACTGGTACCCTCAACTGTCTCTTGAGTCTAAGGTCAATGTTAACTTCTACGCTCCAAAGAATAGTTTAATATAAAAATTAAATAGTTTAATATTAAAACCACTCTTACCCTTTAACTTCTTGGTTCTTGAATCTTTTTTTTTTTTCCTCTTGTTTTAATGGTTTTGCTAGCTCATTGCTTGAGATGTGTTAACGTAAGCTGCCTCCCCTCTGCTTTGGCTATAGGTACAATATAGTGTTTAGGATTTTCTAAAATATTCCTAATCTCATATTTATTCCCAATAGTCTATCTAGTTCACTAAAGCTAGAACACCACCCAAGGTCATAAAACCATGAGCTCCAATGTGGTAGTAAAATGTTCTCACAATCCTCGTATGCCAAAGCCTCACAGATGGAGAGGGCGGTGAGCTGCTTAGCAAATTGAATAGTTCATTCATCTGATGGATTTGACTTTGAACTTCTACATCCTCTGTAACAAATATTTCTTTTGAGGTCTGTTTTCATTTCACTACATCCCTCTCTTAATATAGGAAGCTGCCTCAGTACATGGGGAGATTTTAAAGTCCCTAGGAAGAATTCCAACAGCCCTTCCAAAAAAAGAAAACAAGAATAGAAGAGAACCTTTCTTACTGGCTTTTATTGAAGATTGAACTGTCACAATTAGAGATGCATCCTTTGATTTAGAGATTTGTCTCACTTGAAAATTTAAGGGGCACCTGGGTGGCTCAGTTGTTATGATCCCAGGTCATGATCCCAGAGTCCTGGGATCCAGCCCCACGTCGGGCTCCCTGCTCAGGGGGAAGCCTGCTTCTCCTTCTCCCTCTCTCCCTACTTGTGTTCCCTCTCTCACTGTCTCTCTCTGTCAAATAAATAAATAAAATCTTTTTTTAAAAAAAGAAAATTTAAGGAAAGGATGAGTGCAAATGTGTCTCTATCCTTATGACATTTACTCTTGTATGTTATTGAGTTTATTGGATTCCTTTTCTGAGATCACATTTTGATAGAAGGAAAGGGATTTAAAAAAAAAAAAAGGCTGCAGATACAGAAGCTGCAACAGGAGGGAATATGGAAGTGCAAACAAGATCTAAAGGTGAGACGGTGTGGCTCAATAGACAAAACCTTGGTGCTTGGCAAGCAAGGCTGAGCCTGCGCAGTGCTCACATTCCTCCCATGACACATCTCTCTGCAAATTGGAGAGGCCACTGGACCTGTCTGGGGGCAGGCTTTTAGCTTTTTTAAAAAAAAAAAAGATTTTTTATTTATTTATTTGACAGAGAGAGACACAGCTTTTAGCTTTGATGACCAAGTCTTACAACAGGAAAATCTTATGGAGTGTCTGGGTGAGATCATGTCAATTCTCAGGAGCTGAGTATCAGGAATGAAATGGGCTGCTCCCATTTGAAAAGAAGCATATATATATATATATATATATATATATATATATATATATATATATATATATATATATATATATATATATATATTTTTTTTTTTTTTTTTTTTTTAATGAAGCAACATCCAAATGTATAACCAAGCAGTGCCAAAAAAGCAACTAACCGGGAGAAGGATGTCATGTAAAGTCATATTTCTCTCTTTTCTTGCAAGCAATATATTTTTGTGGCCTTCTGCACCTCTGTCAGGTTGTGAACAAAGGGAGAATTCTAATCCTGAGGCCGTGTGGCAGGAGTGATTAGGTTGATGGGATTTGGTTTGAACTCTCTAGGCCAACACCTCTCAAAAGGACAAATGCAGGTTTCTTCCAGATGAGTGTTCCCACAGTACCATGAGTGGAAAATTGTTTTATGGCAAGAAAAAGCACAGCGATTTTAGCAACTCATGAAGCAATAGCTTGCAAGAGATTTAATTCCCACTGGGCCAATTTGTGTTTAGAGGGAGAACTGGTCAACCATGGAAGACTAATGGCACCTGTAAGGTTTGGGGGTATTCTTTTTCCTATTAAGATCATACCTGTATACACTCTATCTTCATTTACTTGACAAAAATATAATCTCCTCAAAGTTATATCTAGATTAGAAGTTTAAAATTTCAAGAATATATAAGGGCTCTGTGATATTACAAATAAATACAACATTTAATGGCACATCAGAAACATGTAAATGTAGTAGCTTTTCCCTTTTAGTTGAATCAATATTAAAATATTTAGAACTGATTCAAAATGCCATTATTCGTTGATTATATGTACGATAGATGGGGAAATCAATCTCTAATGCCTCCTTCTTCATTCTTGCTGATAGAATCCCAATTTTGTTTGTTAGTTCATCCCTTCCCCATATGAGTGTAAATCTAATTAGCCTAAACTCACAACGGTCATTTTATTTCCCTTGCCAGTGATTAGTTTAGGAGTGGGCATGTGGTCCAGATCTGGCCGATAAAACGTGAGGGGAAGTCTTCTGGGAAATTCAGGAAAAAAAATGTCCTTCCTCAAAAAACAAACAAACAAACAAACAAACAAACAAAAAACAGAAATAAGAAAAAACAGTCACATTTTTCTACAGGATAATTTTGTGTCTGGAAATGATGCTTTGAGAAAAGGAGGGGAGGTAATCAGTCTCTCACAATATCCTGAGAATACCAGAGCAGAGAGAAAGAACCTAGATGATGGAGCCAATGAATTAACCTGCTCTAGAGCATCTACTTCTGCACTTCTTGTTACATGAAACAATAAATATACTCATTGTTTAAGCCCATTTATCCAGTTTTCTATTACTTGGAAGTGAAATAATTTTTTAAAGTTCATCATAAATACTCATAAGCATTTGAGTATAATTGCTTTAGTTAAAAAGCAATGCCATGAAATCAAGCATTTTGAATTTGTACTAATCTCAACACTCTACTCAGGAATTATTCAGCAATCTCTCCTTTGACTCAATAAGGCAGGAACCAGGAATGGTATTTGCAGCATATTTGTATTTCCATACTATACAAATGATTCTAAAAATTAAGATAAATAAATCATTCTAGAAGAACCTCAGCCTTTTCAATTATTCCCTCATTTGTTGATCTATGATCTTGATTCAAATTGATTCAAATTTTAAAGCTCTACATCTCTAGACTTTAAAGGTATTTGGATTAATCACGAAGAGAGAAAACGGCATTTTTTTTTCATAGTGATTTTAGAGGAATGAGGAAATACACAACCTGACTCTTTGCAGTGGAGAAAACGAAATATCGAACGGTTTGGTTTCTCTGCAGCTGAAGGGAAGCTTGGTGAAGAGTGCAAAAGCGGACATGAAAGGCAGCGACCGCTTTGTGGCTTGATGCAAATTCTGGTTGGTCATAGTTGGAACCTGGTCCTCACTCCACACTCACTTCTTCTCACTCCCATTAAAATTAATTTATACTTCCCTTGTTTCAGAATTATCTGCCTTCAGCTGCCGGGGAAAGTCCGTTTATATTACTTGGGAGCATAGCTTCAAGGTCACTTCCTACCATTAATTCCCTGTCAGCAAGCGTCACTTGGGGCATTTCCTTTTCCTGTTCTCATTAGTGCTGAGGAAGAGAAATTCTCAGTGGTCTCTGACTTTCAATTCTCCCCAGCACTTTTCAAAATATGTGCCGGTATATCATTTATTTCATTTAACCATGACTATTCTGGTAGAAAAATGTCAACATGATTTCTCTAATATAAATCTAGCATGTTCCTTGCTGAAACTCTTATCTGTAGAATGGGCATCACAGTTTTTTCTTGCATATTTGGAAAACAAACTAGGTGGAGTACATTGCCAATAAGTACTTAGAAGTCATTGCCAGTAAGTCCTAGGTATGAATCCAGAATATGTACCTTTAGCTGAATATCAAAATATAGTTGTTCTGGTCATCTTTATTAATTAAAATCAATAGACCCTTGGTTCAGTTGAAAACATTCAATTAAGTAAAGAAGGTATTTTAATCATTGATGACTTTGTAAAGAAAGAATAATCAGTTAATAGAATGATTGTTTTCACTTTCTGATAGGCAAGATCACAAGGTAAAAACCTATTGAAATTTTCCAGTAGAGATATATCAAATTATAGAATGCTTTAAATATCTGATCTTATTGAACATATTTGATAAAGGGAAAAATCTTTTAAAACTTTGGATGTGATATTATTCAGATATTAAAAATAATTCTCTCTTCCACAAGTGCTCAGAATATCTCAATAATGCATGAGTGGCCTACAGAACAGGAAATTACCAGCCAGTGTGTTTTATTTTCATCCAAAGCGGATTTTTTTAAACACTAAATTAAATGATTTTTTTCCCCCACAGACTACCTGTGTTAAGACTCAGTGAGGAAAACAACAAAATATTATGGAAGAATATAAAAGGCTATTTAAGTAAATGGAGAGAAACATTATGTTCCTGAATGGGAACATTTTCCAAAGGCAATTGGACAAAATGATTCTAAGATTTATCCAAAAAACTAAACTGACACAAATGGCCAAGCAAATTCTGAAGCAGTAGTGAAAAAGAAGGAAGTCTCACCCTCACATCCAAAGTCAGATAATGAAGTTACAATAGTTGAATCACTGTGGTAATGGTATGAGGAGAGATAAATGAATCCAAAACAGAAGACTCAACAAATGTAAGCACCATCAGAAACCATCCTGCACATCACACAGCAAGAGAAATTCCAGATGTAAGAGGGAGTTAGATGTAAAATTGTATCCATGAAAGAACTGGAAGGAAACACGGGTGAAAAGTATTTGATCTCGGGGCCCAAAGGCTTTTCTGGGCATAAAAGCAGCAGAAGAAAACATAAAGAAAAAAAAAAAAAAAACTTGGTGTGTGTGACTGCATAAGTATATAAATCTTCCGTTAAAAAAACAATCCTGAACAAAGTAAGAAGGCAAACAACTGAAATCTTTTTGCAACGTTTGATAAAAGGAGTTATAGGTTTAACAGAGAGAGCAGAGAGAGAGATCATTCAAATAATTTAGGATGAATTCTATGCTCCCACCACAACAGAAATATGGGAAGAGGTCAAGAATTACCTAAATGGCCATAAATCTGGAAAATAAAGCTCCACCTCAATGATACTCAAATAAATACAAATTAAAACAACCACAATATCGATTTACACAAAACCATCTAATATTCAGAGTGATTGTTCAGCTGTTAAATGCGATCTTAGCCAGTCACAAAAATGTGTTTCCTTTGAATTTAAATGCTCAGGGAAAAAGTATATTACAAAACAATTAATGGCAAATGTTTGTAATTACAGCATCCCCCCTTGGATACTTCCAAGACCTTCAGTGGATGCCTGAATCCATGGATAGTGTTGAAATGTCTATATACTATACCTTTTTCTATACATACATACCTGTGATAACATTTAATTATAAATTAGTAAGAGACTAACAACAATAACTGATAATAGAACAAGTATAACAATATATTGTAAGAGGAGCTATATGAATGTGGTCTCTCGAAATAATTTTATGGGACGGCACTCACCCTTCTTGAGATGATGGGAGAGAATAACGTGCCCACGTGATGAGATGGCATGAGGGGAATGACATTGGCCTTGTGACGTAGCAGGTAACTGGAACCGCGGAAAGTGAAACCGCAGATAAGGGGGGCACTAATGTATTCAAATATGTATGCTAATGTGTTATATATGCATAGAAAATGACTTCAAGTCTCACAGGATTTTATCCACAGGTTATGGGGTCCTCAGCTATTTTAAATTTCTTTTCATGCTTTTCTGTATTCATCTTTTACTTTATTAATTGAAAGACAGAGACTACAAATGCCCCCTTTGCCCCCAGGGAGTCTGATTTCACTCTCCCAGGAGCGGCCACTTGAGGATACTTCTGCTCAGAACTGCCTGATTCAGACCCAGATCTGAAAAAAAAAAAAAGTCTCTGTTCCCAGCCTTCCTCACAGGGTTCAAGTTCCCCTGGCTTTAGGTCCCTCCCTGAGCACATACAGTGAGAACTAATCAGAGCCTTTCTGTAAAATGTGAGATTTATGAAATATATGAAATATATATTTGAAATATATGAAATATATATGAAATAATATATATTATATGAAATATATGAAAACTAAGTGGTAAAATTTGACACAGCAGCTAAATATAGGGAGTGCTCACATCCAGTTTAAAATAACTTTGGTCCCCAGGATGAGGGCACTGCATATGATTAACACAGAACTTTCCCCGATGGCTGATGTTATTCCTACATTTTTCAAATGCTTTTACTTGGACCTTTTCAAAATAAACCGTAGAATTGGGCTTTATGTGCTTATATGGCAAGGTTGCTCCCTGTGATACCGTCACAAGGGCTAAAGCATAAAATCTAGTTAAGAGTTCTTGCCAAAACATGAATCAGTTGCAGCAGAATATTCTGAGCTCTGTTCTTTTTTTCCATTCTCTAATATTTCTTCACATCGCAGCCCAAACAATCGCTCATAATTAAACTGAGTGAAGGAGCAGCCCTGGCAGGAAATGGACTTGGCGAGGATCCCACAGCTCCTCATTGTCTTCCCCACAGAACAATTACATCAGTTCCTTCCATTTCCAGAGGAAGAATGGATTTTGCAGAGCAGCAGATGAAAATAGGAGGAAGGAGGCAGCTTATTTACATATTCCAAATCAGGTTAATGTATAATTTTTTTTTTTAATGGGAAAAGGAAATGCCTGAAAGCATTAAACAGTCCTTTAAAAAACCTGCTTGTCCTTCCTCTGGGATCTCCAGCGCATGCTGACCACAGGCTCTGCTCACCAGTTACTCACGTCTGCCGAAAACCTCCAGGTTCAAAGGGAAATCCAGCCCAGAAGTATGATATATTCCAGAGTCTGGAAGCTTCAAGAGAGGTGAAATGCCAATCGTGTTTGAAAAGTTAAAAATGTCTCACCACCGAGTTCTTCGGCATCTGCTATTTACTCAATAGATTCCCTGTAAATCCTAGTGCAGAAGAGGATTTAGAGTCTAAATGTGCACACCTAGCTAGTGTAAGATGAGGGATGTCTTAAGAGTTGTTTGGCATCAGCTCAGCTAGATGACAAGGCATCATGGTCAACCTGCTGCCTCCCGGGGATGAATGCCTTCTCAGTTTGCAGGCACGTCAGGGCCCAGGCTCCCCATCTGTTTAGGGACCTCCGAATAAAGAGAGATCATCTCCTACCTAGACCTACCCATCCACCCTGATCATCCTTGCCTCTTCTACTGCTCTTCTCCCCCTACCCCCGGCAGCCTGGAATTTATCATGGTTCCCTAGGAAAGGACAGTTGGGTTGAGGGGCCAGTTCCCACAAACCCAAAAAGTGCTGGAGACACACAAAATCTACAGTCCAGCCTCCCAGGGGGGTCAGCTAAGAGAACCATGTTCTCCATAGGAGTGTCTCAGCCATTCAGGAGCAATGAGCACCTTTTTGGATGTCAAGAAGACATGAGACTTCTCTTTTTTTCCATTTCTTAAGTACCCAACCTCTAACTCTTTTCTGCTGGGCTAAAGCTCCGAAGGCCTCAGCCCCATGCACCATCAGAGAAGGAGAGAAGGAGAGACATCAGGCAGGAGTGTCCAGCACCCATTCCCAAACCCCTGCTCTGTGAAGCTGATGTGAGTCCCCTTGTGACCAGGGTGAGCCCATGAAATAGGTCAGAGAGTGAGGGGGGCAAGACTACAAGTGTTCCGTTCTGAGGACTGCGGGGACAGCTCCAGACTACTCATTCCCCCAGACGATTAATCCTCAGGATGTGTCCTACACCAGAAAACTAATTCCATGGGGCCCCAGGTATGCCAACTTTTGGAAGGGAAAGATTCAATCCTGGATCCTATGCTTACAAATGGATCACTGTACAAAGCCACAGATTGTAGAGAGAATCAAAGTAGACACCTTGACCCTGTAATTGGACACTGGCTCTCAGTCTCTTCAGCTGGAAACAATATTTTTTTAAAATACAGGAGACAGAAGCAAAATTAGAGATGCTGGGGATTTTTTTTAAAGATTTTATTTATCTGAGAGAGAGAGAGAGCATGAGCGGAGGGAGGGGCAGAGGGAGCGGGAGAAGCAGACTCTCCGCTGAGCAGGGATCCAGATGAGAGGCTCGATCCCAGGACCCTGGGACCCGAAGGTAGGCAGTTAACCGACTGAGCCACTCAGGCGCCCCTAAGCTGGGGAGTTTTATCTGAGGCAGCATGTATACAGGATAAGGCCCAATCTATAAGATTGGCTGGCAGGCATGGCAGTTCTCTCCTCACCCTGGTTTGTCCCTGTGCCAACACACCAAGAGTATTCAGCAAGTATTGGCAGAAGAAACTCAGTAAAAATGCCCCAATAAAAAAACAAGAATATGATTTCAACATTAATAATGAAAGCAGCACCATAAAAGGCAGAAGTCTCTTGTTTACAAGTGACAGATGCTCAACTAAAAGGGAGTTTGTAACCTAAGCCAAAAAGGAGACTTTATCA